TCATCTGAAGGAAAATTGCCAATATAGGTTTACGTTAAGATTTGCCTTCGATGGGTACATCCCAATGTTTCGTATTTTATTCTATCTCGCAACACCATTAAATCGAATTGTCTGTAATTTGGTATTTGGAGTTCCCATGACAATTTTAAAAACAGCCAAGCAAAAAATCTCATTACCAAATATTGGGATTATTAAGTAAATTTTGGAATTACTTCAACATAGGCAAAAGGGACAACAACGCAGTAGTTCAATTGTAAAAACGATAGTTTTGATTTTGGGGTTAACTTCGCAACAATTCATTTTGGAAATTTTATACGAATAACTCATTATCTTTCGGCTGATAAATCAGAGAATATATAGTAGACATTATTTTTGGGATATTGGAGTATATGTAGTTGTCATTACCAGTAATGCTAAAAGGAGCACATATGCCTCCCACATATTTCTGATTTATCAGAAATTTGGGTTTTTCTTTTTCAATACTTGTTGATTTCCTCCTGACGAATACAAATACTTACAAAACTACTACAAACCAAATTCTTATTTCAAACTTTCGGGTAGCTTGGAATATATTGTTATTGTGTTTTTTGGTAAAGTCCATCAGTAAGTATCACTTTTACTCCAGAATACTGGAAAATTAAAGAGCTTTCTTTTAGGCGAAATTATCATCCTCGTCGAGATGATATCATATGAAAAGTCTTCAACATTGTGTAAAACCGTTTTTAAACTTTAAATTTTGTGGTGCCTTCACTGTGGCAATAACAGTGAACAACTCTCTAAGGAATTTCAGACCTTTTTTCTTAAACACCTCTAGGAATATTTTCCCTTGTAACTACACCTTAATACACAAAAAAACCATACATACACCCCACAAAGTGCTTCCATCACAAGCAGATATGTGTACAAAGAGGTTGGTAATAGCATGTGTGTTAGAACGTTGCATGTTGCATGTCTAATTCAATTTTAGCCGACCTTAAGAGGGAATTTTTGCACTTTTCTTTTTTGCTCGCTCTCTCTCTCTCCCTCTTTCCGCAATCCATTTAAAATGCTATTACAACGGGCCCTGCCATAGACATGAGTAATACCGTCTTGAGCGGTATTTAAGTTGCAATTTTATGAATTTTCCTGTCTCTTCTTAGCCGGTATTATCAAGGACTTTGGCCATACACACACACACGTTCGTTCATCGATTGCAACAAGTCGTTTTCATATTTTTCTTTCATAAATATACTTTCAAAGCGTCGAACGTAATCATCTGCTACTTAGGCAGAGTGGGCGAATCAATGTTAACATAGGAGTCATTTCGTGAGAAGATGGATAAACAGAATTTCTAAAGAAAAAATGATTTTCCACTGTTATAGACTATAATGTGGAAACTCAATTATATTAAACAAAAGTTAGATATTCCATAATTATACCTTAAACATAGGAGTACACTTTTTATGAAATGTCTCATATGCCATACACTTTTCTTTTACCTATTCTGCCATAGATGAAGGTAAAAGAAATTTCACTGCAGACCGCACGATTATTAGTTAGTTCCTGTTGTTGCTAGAAGTAATTACCCCTATTAAAATTGTTGTTAAATTGGCTGTTATTAAATTGTGAAATACACAAAAGTTTAGAAGTGGCAAGTGCACAGCGTTCCCAGCTAGTTCAATTGCAAGACAAAAACTTTTCTGAAAATGTAATTTAATTTCAATGGTATCGAGTATGAAGGAAACAATGTTGTACATACCAGACAGGATACATTGTTTGTCTCTCATTTAAAATTATATTTAATGGTATATTTGGACAACAGCTAACTAATTGATAACAATTAAGCAGATGTATTTAATTAGAAGTTGCAATATGTACATTGCAGACCACGTTTAGCAGCCCATAGAAACTTTCATGCAAGAAAATTTTCTTGTGGGTCTATGTGTCTCCCAAAAATTGGGTAGTCATATTTTCCCTGCATTCTAGCCTACTGCTGGAAATGACAAATTTATACTCCTTGCTAGACCAGGAACCAAAAAAATTATAAAATGTTTATAAACAACTATCCGGCGAGGTCCGTGTTGCCGGCCCGTTCTTTCAGTCTTTAATGCATATTTGTTAAAGCATAATAAAGCACAGATCTGACTTATGTAAGTGGCACAATTTTTATTATAAGTAATGACACTACAGTAACTTCCAAATAGAAATAAATATTCACGGCAAAAATTATAATATATGTTCACCTACCGTCAATTTTATATACTCTAAATAGGGTAAGTGTACCAGTAGTCGGCACTTTTAGGCTTTTCAATATTTCAATCCTTCGACATTCTGAGTGAAATCTTTCAATTGCAGAAAAATAAAGTTGTTCAGATTCCATATTTTGTTTAGTTTCCGAAATAATAAACAACAATTGAATTTGTTTTTATTAAATTGGCAAAATTTACAATTTTACTAAAATATGAGTTTTTTGCCAGTGGTCGGCACCATTTTCCAATGCTCGGCATGTATATTTGCCAGTAGTCGGCATATGCCATTTCATTAAAAAAATATTATTTTTTATATTTAATTTCAAATAGCATAAAACAATGCTGTAATACTAATTCACAGTTTAATTAACTAATTTCGTTTTTAAATAGTGTTTTATTTAATTATCATTCTAAACCAAATGTAGGTAGAAAATCAAGAATAGTATGGATTTTCAATTTAAATAAAAATGAGATTAAATAAAAAAGTAACTTTCTTATATTTGGAATTTGTGAATTGATCTTTTTCCTTTAGATAACCAACATTTTTTTTAAATGCCACCGCTATCTAAAACGTCAAGTAGCTGATTTAAAAAAAAACCTACTTAATTTAGAAAAGTTGATCAAAAAGCACAAATAAAAGCAACTGCCGACTCAAAACAATTTTTTTATTTGAGTAGTTTTTGGATTATTTTTAATACTTTTCTCAAGTTTTGGTGAAATAGGTCAAAAATTACATTTTTTTAGTAATCGGCACCCCCTGCCGACTACTGGCAAATCTATTTTTTTTCTGTTCCTAATGTCGGGATTAAATAATACAACAGAAAAAAGCTTGATTTGCATGTTTTTAATTTATAAAAGTGATCTTCAGACTATTATATACTATTAAAAAATATTTCTGATTCCAAAAGTATTAAATTTAATTTACTTAAATCGATTATTAATTTGACGCCACCATTAATTTTTTCTTTACAAACAAGCACTACCGCACGCGTTGGAAGACACTCACTGACGAAAACCGTTATTCTCCCGTAATAAATGATCGGAGCTCATTGTTATTTTACAGAACGAGAGCAGAGAACACTGTTGACGTTTTTTTACAATTATTTCATTATGTGGTCAATTCCATTTTTAGTTATTTAAGTTTAAATTTCAAAACTGCCGACTACTGGGACATGCCGAACTTAGGCGCACTTACCCTAGCATGATTTTATTTTTCAGTTTAGCAACATTTTCCATTCAAATGAGCTATAATTTGGATTTTATATTTCGTTTAAAATACCGCTCTGTGTGTTATTTAGTTTTTCCACCTCATAATTGAGGTGGAAATAATTACTCTCTTACTCCCATTACCGTAAGATGGGAATTATTTTTTTTTGTCATTTAAATTGTGCATTGGAGACCCAATAAAGTCCATATTTTTTCATTATAGTACATATAATTCAATGACGATTAAATAAATGTTCGGTCCCGTGATACTTTCTAATATTCGTAATTGTTTTCATGTTTCTGCCACAGTTCCCGACTGAATGAGACCGAGTTTGACATTTCGAAATTTATTTCATATCATCCCAAATCTACGTTCCCAACCAATATTCTGTTGGGGGTTACAAATTCAATAGAATACAAAATTTTCTTTTCTAACCACACATTGGGAAAGTGGTGTTGGGGGTACACTACTCGTAATGTGGGGACTATACTCAAATAAATGCCTATGTGGACAATTATCTGTAAGATGGTTCTCTAGCCCAGGGTAGCGTAAATACAATTTTTAAGCCAAATCAATTGATGAATGTGGTCAAAATCAAGATGGGTCCTATTCTAAAAATTGAAATTTTTAGGTCAAATAAATTTTAATGGTATGGGCTGCCACAATAGCTGATGGTCGCTCTCCGCTCGTATTAATCGACCGTGGCATCAGAATAAATGCCAAATATTATCGCGAAAAAAATCTGGAAGGTGAATTGAACATTCCAACAGGACTCAGTATCATCGCATTCAGCACGCGCCACCCAAGAATGAGGTCCCTCGCTTCATTTCCAGCGCCAATGGCCACCAAAATCTCCGGATACCAATCCGTTGGACTATTGTGTCTGGAGTATTTTGGCAATCAAGGTTGGCACTAAAAAATACCAAAATGTCGATCACTTCAAGAAACCACTTCGCCGGGAATGGGCCAAAATAATGCAGAGCAACATTCAGGCAGCGTGTGACGGTTTCACAGCGTTTGAAGGTCGTAATTCTTGCCAAAGGTGAAACTTAGTGCTCTTGGGACATCATCTGGCTTTTTTTAATATTCTAAAGGAATTCCCAGATTTTTGTGGATTTATTGTAACATTTTTAAATACTTTTTGACAAAGTATGGAGGCAACAAATTGGATCTGAAGATACTCCGGGGCATACATTGGATTAAACAATCCATACCATTTATATATCAAAGTTTGGGCGTTCTCTACTCATGTACAACCTACAAGGAGTTGTGTTTCACACTAATTTTCTATAAAGCAATAAGGTTTCAAAAATTGTTTTTGTCAGTCTTCTAAATTACTCCTATCCACATTTTGTGTGCATCAGCTATAATACAATTTTACTTACATCTTCGTTTATAACCTTAAATTTTAAAGCTCATCATAGGATCTTATATTTCTATTGCACAAACAAATATTAAGTGCCCAATTTCATGTCTAAACCGTTGACCTTAAATTTAAAACCATTTGGAAATAACCATGAAAAACTACTTATTCCACTTTTTTTCTTCATTTTCATACTTTCCAGACAATCTAATGAAACTCGCATCTGTCCAGGCGTAAGAACTGACATTATCTACAGCAAAACAGTCTTACAAAAATAAATAACCTTTAAAACCCCCAAAGCAATTTCAACACAAATAAGAGAAGCACATTTACGAACTTTTAACCAGAATCCATTTGACTTGGAACTCTAGTGGACGACGAGGAGGAGTAGGACAAACAAAAAGTGGACATCAAAGAGAAAAATGAGGAAATGCAATAAAAGGCAAAATAAAATGAAACGAGAAAGCACAACAACACAAAAATTACTAATAATAAATCTTAAAGTAAGTTGGGAGATTTAAAAAGCTGTAAACACTTGAGGATACACCTGCGATACGCTTGGATTCGAATTGGAACCAAGACCAAGTGAGCGAGAAATAAAATATAAAAATCAATTTACAAGAAGTGTTGACAACTTTAAGGCGAACTCACACACACACGCACATCAAAGAACACATACACACATATTTAGATATATGTACCCAAAGAAAGCAGCAGCAGATCAAAGAAAACATGTCGAATGTAAGTATAGAAGGTGTTCCTCATGGTTGAACGAACAAACGCTGTGAGGATAATTGGATTTCTTACAGAAAAATTAATTAAAAATAACTCTTTTTGTTTTTCTCTTTTATTTTTTCGAAAAATGCTCAAAACCAACAAACAACGACAAAAACAAAGTTACTTTTCATGGATGAATCGAATGGCAATGGTGTGTATGCAACGTCTGCGACAGCAATTTTAATCAACAATACAAATATCAATAATAATAACAACAACAGCAACAACATTGGACGTGGTAACAGCAATCACAACGGCAATAGCAACAACAACTCGAACAATACACCACCCACTTCGAATAACAAGAGCAATAATTACAACAATAATAATAACAACAATAACAACAGTAGTAGTGGCAGTGGCAACAATATCCACAATTTAATGGCAGCAGCTTCAAATGCAGCCGGCACGGCTGCATGTGCCAATGGAGTCATTCCTCCCCAGCTGCCCACATCACTATCAAATGAAGATCTCAGTCAAAGTCTTTCCGAATACACGGATGCCGATGAAAGCATATCAGCACCGACAGAATTCTTAGCCGAGGTAAGACACATAAGTAAAAAAGCTGTTAGTTCGGCCAGGTCGAACTTTGGTGCAGGGTACCATTTGGAACGAATTTGGCAATTTTCCAAAAAAAAAATAAAATCCGTTAAAAATTCTGTTAATTCTTAGGAATTCCAAATGTAGCCGTTATATTATGATCTATACGACGGCGTGGACCAGCAGAGGCAACTTTTGTCATAAGCCATTACAATAATCAAATACGAAACTTGAAAAAAAAAAATGAAATAAACGCAGGTATTAGGCAGTAGTGTCCATTACGAACTTCAAATACCAAATTTGAAACAATTCCGGTGAATAATATCGCTAAAATCATCCAAATACCGAATATCGGGAGGTACCGTCATATGGGAGCTATACGAAGGCCTGGACCTGCACAGACAATTTTCAGTCTTAGGCTGTAGTAACCATTACGAACTCCAAATACCAAATTTTAAACATTTCCGGTGAATAATGTAGCTTCAATAACCAACATACTGAAAATAGGGAGGTACTATATGGGGATATATCAAAACGTGAACCTACCTAGCCCATTTTCAATACTAAAAGTCCTGCAGACTCAATATAGATTTGAGTAAAATTTTACCAACCTACTTCATCTCGTTCGGAAGCTAGAGTGATTTCCACAGACGGATAGACGGACGGACATCGCTAAATCTACATAGAATTTTATGCTGATCAAGAGTATATACAGGGTGAGATGAAAAAACAGCAACAATTTTCACTTATTTTAATTTTTCCTGAATAGAAGAAAAATTTCGAATTGGTCATCTTTGGCACAAATAATGGCCTTCAAACGGCCAATGAAACCGTCACACACTGCCCGAATGTTGCTCTAAGGTATTTTGACGTGATCGAAACTTTGGTGCCAACCTTGCATTCCAAAAAACTCCAGACACAACAGTCCAACGGATTGGTATCCGGAGATTTTGGTGGCCATTGTGCGCTGGAAATGAAGCGAGGAACCTAATTTTGTAACCATTCTTGGGTATCGCCTGCTGAGTGAGTATACTGATGCCACGGTCGATTAATACGAGCGGAGAGCGACCATTGGCTGTTATGGCGGCCCACACCATCACCATGGCTGACGCTTGAGTTCTGGTGGCCAACCGAAAGCACACATTTTCAGCAGACCTCTTTGGCAAGTAAACACGATCATTTTGTTTGTTTACAAACTGCTGGACAAAGAATGTTTTCTCATCGGAGAAAACCGAATTCGGTAGTTGACGTCTTTCGGCCAAGCGAAGCAACTCTTTGGCTCTTTGAGTCTATTTTCTTCTCGCTGCGGTGTAAGTTTTTGCACTTTTTGGAATTCCAATGGCTTTACCCCGAGCCCATTTTTCAATATTTTCCGAATGGAATATTGCGATATGTTCACACAAAAGATTTATTCACATTTAAATGCTGGAGTGCTCTAACGATAGCCACTTGTGCTTTTCCAGCTAAATATAAAAAAATTACACTATCACGCTTGAATTCCATCAGGAATAACTTTTTTTCTGGAGAATTCTCACCAAAAAGCTTTAGTTCGCTCGTAAACAATATAATGAACTGTCACTGGAATAATTTTAACAGCTGTCGGACGGGTGTCTTTGAAATGACAGCAGTCTGAAGTTGGTTGCACTCACTCTGTACACTTGACTCAAAAACAACATCAAAAGAAATATAAATAAACGAAAATTTGTAAAAATATAGACCTAGAGATAAAGCCACTTAAAGAATTTCCATTTGGGAAAGCAATATCACAAACACATATCTTTGAACCAGAAATACAACTCCAACAAATCCTATAATATTAAGTTACTACTGTTATTCAAATATTTTTATGAGTCAGGAAGGTTATCTTTCACAGATATTTTCTTTAAATGGATTTTTCTCAAAAACCACGTAATATTACATTAAAGCGTTTGTTTGGAATCTCCTCAGCTTTGCTATCTGATTGATTTCATGTTCACAGAACCCTTCATAATGCCTCTTTACATCCACAAAACAAACTTTTTGTTTAATAACCTCTTAAGAAAAAATGTTATGAAGAGGAAAAGTTTTGCGGAAGACCAATGGAAATTATTTTCTTTTTCATGTAAATTTTTTTAAACAAACAGGAAAATCATATTTCTACGTTCGCTTTTTTTCTGCAGAGAGCAATGACTGAGTAAAAATCTATTTGCTGTTGTAATTGTTTAACTTAAAAAAAAACAAGTAAGCAAAGGCTATAGTCGTGAGGGGCCGACCATGCGATACCCTACAACACTATAATGTGGTAGAAGCCAAATCCATTTTGGAAGATTTCGCTTCTGAAATGATGTCACGGAGCACTGCCCAGATATCACCCTTAGCATTTTGGCCAGGGACATTTGCAAAATATTTGCGCACTCCGTCATGCTACTAGTTGTTGTGGTCCATTTTACAGCTAAATATAATGCAATGGTCATCCAAAAAGCTAGAATTCTTCCCTGTCCTTAACTCTCTTTTCAGGCGCGTCGATTGGCTTCAATTGTGTGACCAGAATTTTTTTCGGTTTTTGGTTCATTTAAACCTTTAAATATTTTTCGATCATCTCCAAAAGCAAGAGGCCCCTCCAAATTTAGTCTCATTTGCTTGTCTACGATATTTGACTATATTCGTCTACCCGCTGTTCTCTAACTCTCTAACTTAATGCGAGATTTCGTGTCCGCTGGTTTCCATTTGTGATCTTTATAACGGCTGCAAAATCAGGAACATTTTTAGTTGTTGGTCCATTTCAATCCCTAAATATATTTCGAACATCTTTGAAAACAATGTGCCTAGCCCTTCTGAGCCTAACCCTACCCTTGTGAAAATTTTCGTGAGGATCGGACGATAATTGCAATCAGTATATAATAACCCCAACCTGTGTTATAAGGTGAAGAAAATATTACAAAATATACCCTTCAATATTATAAGTCAAATCGATAAATAATCTTAAAAAATAAGAAAATTTCACAAAATACTGCAAAATCTATATTAACATCATTATTGACATGTTTTTATGCGATTTTTTTTAGATTTTATATTTTTATGCCAAGAGGGTATTCTAAATTGACAAACTTTGTCAAAATCGGTCCAGCCATTCTTGAGATATAAGCATTCTAGCTAACATCCCTTTCCTTCGTATATATAAATTGTATATATTTCGCTATAAACATCTGATATATTTACTATTGGCAACTACGTAATGGTCAGAATTGACCTGTCCGTCTATTTGTGATTTCGCATGGATTAAAAATATTCGCGGTTTAATGGAAAATTTGAGTTTCATTTAATACAAATATTATGATCTATTTCACCCACTAAACATTACCCGATGTGCATCAAAATTGGAAGGCTTCAGCTCAGCCCTAAGTTCTAGCCCCATATTAACTTTCGCTCCCATTGGTCTATTATTGCGACTTGTAGAGCAACTGCTACATCAGAAAAATTATTATTATGCGATCATCTCCAAAAGGCTTCTAGGATCGGGCTATAATTGCGACCTGTAGAGTGATTAAAAATTAACATGGACAGACGGACGGACGGTATGCTATCCGTCAGAAAACAATCGAACTATTCCCTAAAATAATATATTGCGAATGATTATAAATACAGAGATTAACAATCAATATATCCCTCCCATTCTTAATTAGAGTAAAAAATAAAATCCATTTAATGTTATATTATTTTTTCTCATTCCAGTTTCTGTCTTCAGTCATGCTCAAGGATTACAAAAAAGCTTTAAAATATTGCAAGCTAAGTAAGTACCTTTCACCAAAAATGTCAAGACAAAATGGAAGCGCATAAAATTCCATTATTTATATTCAAGACAAATAGAAATATGAGAAACTTTCTAATTAAATAATATTTTATCCTTTTTTTATTATTTTTCTGAACATAATAAATGAATTCTCTACTACTTCTGTATCTGCTTCTTTCTACCTTGTCATCGTTACAGTTTTGCAGTACGAGCCACACAATTCGACAGCAAAGGAATTCTATCCATTGATATTGGACAAATTACGTGGTATGTGTGTACTTCGTAAAAAAGCGGGGTTATCAAATAGGGATGTACGAATGTGTATCGAATCAAATTAGTAAGAATTATTGCCCATTGTAATTGGGGTATAACACATTCGACAAGCATAAAATTATTTTTGACAATTTGGTGCAAAAGTCAAATTTTTCACAAAACTAATTTCCAAATACGAGGCGCTAAACTACAAATAATCCACAAAAATCAGTAAATGTTCTTAGAATGTAAACGATTTTCTCTAAGGAGCCATTCACATCCATAATTTCTTTGGCAAGAAAGTTATTGAATGAAACCGTTTTTTTTTTTTTTTTTTTTTTTTTTTTTTTTTGCGAGAAAATTTGACTTTTTGTCTATTTTCGCACTTCATACTTTTTCAGCAGAGTTAGAGAGATATGAGAAGGTTTGAAATAAAATTTCACTAACATTAATTATGTAAATAAATAAAATTTTGCGGAATATTTAGATATGCAAAGCTTGAACAAAATTGCTAACAAATTTCACGATATCTGAGTGTTGCTTTAACTAATTTCGACGGAGGTACCAGAGGTGTTCTCACCACAACTAAGTTTGATAAAAACATTAGTATTATTAAAAACATTAATATTATATTACCCTCAGCCAATGTTCGACTATTTAAAAATATTTTGACTTCTGTTATGAATATTCAAACTCTTGACTCTCTACGGAGTGGGAATGGCCCAATATTGTCCATTTCGTATCGGAGTTAAATAAATATGATATAAATATTGGGATGTTCCATATTTGGACTGTCTTGGTTACCTCCTTCACTTTATATGAAATATGTGATAATACAGATAAAAATATTGTTATGGCGAAAATTATAAGAAAATCGAAAATTTATATCCAATTCATGGGATATCACAAATTCCATATTCATCTCAGGTTTCTGGTTGAGAGACATATATTTGGATATAGCAAGTTGTAAAGAATCGCTGAGTTGTTTCGCAATATGGCATATAAATGTATTGAAAATTGTGACCCTTTTGTCGGTGAGGTACCAGAAGGGGTCCGCAGATATATAATATCTTTAAAACAGATCTTGTTTTAGCAAAAGTGTTTGTATGTGTAAAATTTAAAGAGATGCTTATTTCGTCTTCTTTGTTTTTCAAAATCTTGAACCCTATGTGGGGCAAGCCGCAAAATAAACGGTCCGATCTGTGCAATCTTTACAACAGATCTTATATTGATGGAAATATTGAGATGTGATAAGTCTAAATGGAATATGATGCCAATTTCGCGTTTTATGAGCTTAATGGATATTCCAAATTTCGACCTTTTGTGGAGGAAGTACCAGAAGGAGTGGACCGATATATTCCGTCTTAACGCCAGATCTTGGGTTCATAAAATATTAGGATGTGGGGAAATTGAAGACAATCGGACACCTACATCACATTTTATAAGAGTGGTAATTATTCAAAATTTTGACCCTTTGTGAGGTAGTTACTTGATAGAGTAGACCGATATTGTCCATTTTCGCACCAAGCACTGACGCAAATATTAGGATTTGCAAAGTTAGAGCAAAATTGGATTATTGTTTCCCTTTCTGTACACATTTTTTTACAATTTTGACCGGTTGTTGGGGAGCTAACAGAAGGAGTGAACCGATATATTTCATCTTCACACCAGACCTTGGTTCAATATAAATATTGGGATTTGTGAAATTTGAAAACAATCGGACTCCAACATCAAATTTTATAAGTTGTAATTACTCAAAATGTTGACCCTTTGTGGGGAAGGTACTTGATGAAGTGGACCGATATTGCCCATTTTTTCACCTGACATAGCACTGACGCAAATATTAGGATTTGCAAAGTTGGAGCAAAATCAGATTATAGTTTCTTTTTCTGTGCAGAAAATACATATTTTTGAAAATTTCCATCTTTTGTTATGGAGGTGGAGGTATTTGATGGATTAGATCGATATCGCCCATTTTCGCACCTGACCTAGCACTGACGCAAATATAAGAATTTGCAAAGTTTGAGTAAAATCAGATTATCATTTCTCTTTCTGTGTAAAAAAATACTTTTGAAAATTTCGACCTTTTGTGGGGTAGGTACCAGAAGGAGTGGACCGATATATTTCATCCTAACGCCAGACCTTGGGTTGATAATATTATTGGGATGTGTGAAATTTGAAGACATCACATTTTATAAGAGTTGTAATTATTCAAATTTTTGAATCGCTACATCGACTCCAAATGCTCTGAAACTGATTTGTTCCAAAGAGACCTAGGATCTTAAACCGTTATTTCGACTAGGCACCATATGGCTGAGGATATAAAAATATTACCATGTGCATCAAAATCATATCGGGATTATTATTTATTGACATTTTTAGCTTCTGACGGAGATATTGGAAAGAGAGAGCCAGTAATACCGATCTTCGAACTCAATACGATGCATCAAGTGTGGACCAAATCGTATGCCAATTTCGAGAATTATCGTTCGCACCAGGCAGACTGACGTACATCTCCAGAACAGCAACAAAAAATATCCTGAAGCAGATTTTATCCAAAGAGATATGGGGTTCGAAATAGTCTAAATAATAAAAAGGACGTTTTACAACCATTCTTCTTTGATAACCCCATCAAGTATAGAGATACAAAAGATACCCTAATGAATTGAACGCCTTGAAATTTGTTTTGATTTTGTTTTTTGTTTATGCTTCTCTTTCTATTAAATAACAACATCAACAACAAACCAAAAAAGGTGCCACCTCTAGTGACAGTGACGAAAACTACAATAAATCATCTTCCTCACCGGAATTAATACTGGAAGCACCATCATCAGATCCTTCGGCGGGAGAAAGTGATGAACAGGAAGCTTTGGCTGGTGAGGAAAAGCTACATCGTCAGCATATACGGCGACCGCATTTGCCAGACTTAGGTATAGCTGAGGGCATTTTAGATCCCAATTCAAATGTGAGCAGCAACAGCAATAGCATTGAAGACGACGATGATGTGGACGAGGAGGAGGAAGAGGGTGCAGGTGGTGTTCTAAGCAGTGGCTCGGTAGGCGTTAGTCTAAGTGATTCCGTAGATGCTGATGACGACGAGGATGATGGAGAAGATGCTGACGACGACGATGATGATGACCGTGACGATGATGACGATGACATCATGAGCAGCAGTGGCGATGATTTGCCCGTTGATGAACATCAGGTCATTGTGGGCGATGTCCTGGACATAGATAACTCAGGTAATGCATGTGGCGGCGAAGGTGCTGATGGTGTAGCTTTAAATGGTTCAAATTCATCACGAAATTCTTCGAGTGGTGGTAAAATTAGTAGCCGCAGTGACAATACGACACACTCGTATTCGAGTTTATTGCTGGAGGAAGAAGATGATATAGTGCCTGCAAATCTACACTTTCCCAAGGATTTTAACACACCTGATTTGGATGTTAGCAATGGTGAGTAGTAATGCCGCCTGTGGCACACAATTTGTTACAGGGGTTACCAAGAGTTCCACTTGACATTTGCAAGAAAATTGTAAATTCAATTTTGTAAACATGGCAAGCGTAAGAACAAGCATTTTATAACACACACATACATAAGTTAACAAATTGTGTATGGTGACATGTGCTAAAATATTCATTGAGTTACAGGAAAAGTTGAAAATAACAAAATTACATTTTAGAGAATTTGGGGAATAAAATTCAGTACAAAGGAAATCTGTACAGGGTGAGATAAAAAAAACTGCAACAAGGTCAAAAGCCATAATTTTATATACATTTTTTTTTAATTTTAATGAATGAAATCAAAAAAATTCGGAAATAACATCAAATTTTACAAAATGTTTAGATTTGTTTGAATTGGCCACCTTTGGGACGAATTATGGCCTGCAAACGGCCAATTAAACTGCCCGAATATTGCTCTGTGGTATTTTGCCCCATTTCCGGCGAAGCGCTTTCTTGAGGTGAACGACACTTTGGTATTTTTTAGTTCCAACCTTGCTTTCCAAAATACTCCAGACACAATAGCCCATCGGATTGGTATCCGGAGATTTGGTGGCTATTGTGCGCTGGAAATGAAGCGAGGAACCTGATTTTGTAACCATTCTTGGGTTGCACGTGCTGAGTGCGATGGTGCTTGAGTCCTGTTGGAACGGCCAAGGTCTGCGGCCAAAATGTTTGCGCGCCCAAGGCTTTAATACACCCTCCAGAATATTTTCGCGATAATATTCGGCATTTATTTTGATCGATTAATACGAGAGGAGAGCGACCATCGGCTGTTATGGCACCCATCACCATAGCCGGCGCTTGAGTTTTGGTGGCCAACCATTTTCAGCTGGACTCTTTGACAATTAAACACGATTATCTAATTTGTTTGCAAACTGCTGGACAACGAATGTTTTCTCATCGGAGAAAACCAAATTCCGCAGTTCACCACTTTCGGCCAAACGAAGCAACTCTTTAGCTCTTTTGAGTCTATTTTCTTTCTGTTGAGGTGTAATTTCTTGCATTTTTTGGAATTTCAATGGCTTTACCCCGAGCTCATTTTTCAATATTTACCGAATGGAATATTGCGATATGTTCAGCTTACGAGCCATTTTTCTGCCACTGCGACGCGGATTTCAATCCAGTCGCTTCTTTACTTGTCAACCCATTTCTACTGATGTTGCTGTTTTCTTTCGGCCACTTTCTTGCCGTCAGGCTACGCTACCAGTATCACGGTAACGAGCCATGGTACGAGACACAGAAGATTTATTCACATTTAAATCCTGGAGTGCTCTAATGATAGCCACTTCTGGTTTTCCAGCCAAATATAAAGAAATCACACTATCACGCTTGAATTCCAGCACAAATAACTTTTTTCTAGAAAAATCTCACCAAAATGCTTTTGTTTGATTTGAAACAATATAATGAGCTGTCACTGGAATAATTTTAAGACCTGTCGGATGAGTGGCTTGGAAATAACAGTAGTCTGAAGTTGGTTGCATTTGGACTCAACATTATTGCACTCAGTACACGCCACCTAAGAATGGTTGCAAAATTAGGTTCCTCGCTTCATTTCCAGCGCACACCAAAATCTCCGGATACCAATCCGTTGGTCTATTGTGCCTGGAGTATTTTGGAAAGCAAGGTTGGCACTAAAAAATACCAAAGTGTCGATCACCCCAAGCAAGCGCTTCGCCGGGAATGGGCCGAAATACCGCAGAGCAACTTTCAGGCAGCGTGTAACGGTTTCCTTGGCCGTTTGAAGGCCATTATTCGTGCCAAACCTTACCTTATTCTAAAATTTGATGCTATTTTCGACATTTTTTGCTTTCAGTAAAAAAATATGGCTTTTGACTTTATTGGAGTTTTTTTTATCTCACCCTGTATGTTTTTTCCTATGTCCGTTTGTTTAAATATATTTTGTCTTGGGTTATGATAATATTCAAAATGTCTCCCGTTCATGGGGGAGATACTTAAGAAGTGGACCAATATAGTCCATTTCTCACCTTAACAGCTTCAGACTATGTTGACTACTTTCTTCGCTTTATATGAAATATGTGTATCATAGATGGTCCGTCAGACAGTTTTTCAGGTTTTCAACTGTCAAAAAGTTGTATACGTCGGAAATGTCATACCTTAAAAAAGTATATAACTTCATAAACATCTCAAAATATTGTAAAATTCCACGAACAACTTCGAAGTTGGTTGATCAAATTTTAGGTCGCATTATTGAACCTTGGTGATCATAATAACGAGAGTTTCCTTGTGTACATTTTCCAATTTTTTTCTGAGTTACCACAAATGAAAAATATCTTATCAAAATATCTTAAATGCCAATAATTTGCTTTTTGCACTAGTCATACTTTAAAATTAATACCAAGCCTTATTAAAATTATAAATGTTTGTTTATTTATTTTTAGGTAATAAAATTCCCTCAACATCCTGCAGTGATTCGGAATCACCAACAGAACCGCTGACACAAAGATTAGCAGCCATTTTACGCTCAAAGTGTGGTGTTTCAAATACTAATGGTTAGAAATACTCCCAACACTCCCTGGATGGCATATATGTTAAAAAAATATTAAGTGTAAATGAAATATATAGTATATATACAAAATATGTCTATAATCGAAAATTATATAAACAAACACTCACACACAGTAACACAGCATTCAACAATATTTTTGGCTAACCTATTATTATTATTATTGAAATACTTTTATCAATTTAATTTTTCTCTTTCCTTCAGTAATAATAAAATTTAATGCAAACTAAATTGTTATCATATTCCAATCATTGTGGAGTATAATAATATATATATTTTTTTGTTACAATAACAACATTTTGCACACACATACACATAACAAGAAAATTATAAATGTTTATGTGTATTGATATTAATCAACTTATACTCAATATTAACTTTATTATATACTAACTTACTTAATATCTCAATTTTTGTGGACTTATTTAATTTAGAACAATATTTTACGGTACTTATATATGAAAACACATGTATACTTAATTCAACGTATTTATAGTCTATCTAATATCGGATGTACAGCTGGTCGTCAACATAACGTGTAATGTTCTCATAGTTTTAGTTTTTGTGTGTCTTAGTGTTGTTAACAAATACGTCATGAAGATGTAAATTGGGCGTCATATTTTTTGAAAATATTTTGTTTTTTGAAACATATTCTAAGAACAAAAATGATATTCCAGTTTTTTTTAGACTAGCATGTTGACCAGTTAAATTATTATTATATTTTTTTTATTTAGAGAGCTTATACACGGCCTATATATGTAGAAGCCGATTCAGATATTTGCTTTAATAATATACACATATTTATATAAATATATTTAGATATTAGGTTCTGCCTTGTCTACCTTAATATTTATTTAGTTTATTTAGCTAATGACAATGGATAAAAAAGAAATTTTTTATATTGTATGGATTTAATACTTGGTATAATAATTACAGCCCAGCTGATTAGCCTCTATAGTAACACTAATGTCAAATTTCGACATGACGTTTTGTGTTTTACCTCCATTTCTGGATATACAATAGGTATACACTTTCTTATATAAAATTTCATTGCAGTTCAAATTTAATTTTTTTTTTACCTAATAAGAAAAAAATGCTGTCATACTTTGCAAAACACATGGTGCGGAAACTTTTTTTCGCGGTGAAGGAACAGCGACACCACATATGTTGATATAGTCGTATTTTTCATGTTTCCCAAAATTCCAAAATAGTTTGGTTGCAATTTGAAAGGGAAGTTGCTTTCTTCATTCATAACGATTGTTTGAAGTGTTGAGAGATTTGGACCTACAGCTAACAATTATACATTCAGAGGAATGATATTAAGGCATTAAAATTAAATATCTTAAGAACTATTTTTCTGCATTTTAAATTTTAAAAATCCGCATTCCAAACAAAGATAAATTTTGTAAAATTAAAATAATTTATTGAGAAATATTTTTTATTAACATTTTTGGACATATAACTCTGAAACTTGTATTACCTAAAAAAACAAATTTTGTATGCGTTTGTTATTACGTTAGTTGTACAACAACACTTGTTGTTATCTTTATTATTATTCTACCATGGATCTAATACAGCATTTTGTTGTTCCTTCCAAAATAAGAAAGCTTTAGTTTAGATTGTTAGTTTTACCAGCATTTTTTTTTTTTTTTTTTTTTTTTTGAATGAAATTATTGGATGGAAACAAAAAATATGGAAAATAGCATCAAATTTCAGAATAAGTTTAGATTTGTTCCAATTGGTAACCTTTGGCACGAACGCTGTCGAATGTTGCTTTGCGGTATTTCGACCCATTTCCGGCGAAGCACTTGCTTGAGGTGCCAACCTGGTTTTCCAAAATACTCCAGGCACAATTTCTTTTTTTACCAACGGATTGGTATCAAGAGATTTTGGTGGCCATTGTGCGCTGCAAACAAAGCGAGAAAACTCATTTTGTAACCATTCTTGGGTGGCGCGTGCTGACTGCGATGGTGCTGAGTCCTGCTGGAATGTCCAATGTCGGCGTCCAAAATTTTTGCATGCCCAACCTTTGGCATGAACGGCCAATAAAACAGTCACACGCTGCCGAATGTTGCTCTGCGGTATTTCGATCCATTTCCGGCGAAGCACTTGCTTGAGGTGCCAACTTGGCTTTCCAAAATACTCCAGGCACAATAGTCCAACGGATTGGTATCCAGAGATTTTGGTGGCCATTGTGCGCTGCAAACGAAGAGAGAAACCTCATTTTGTAACCATTGTTGGGTGGCGCGTGCTGAGTGCGATGGTGCTGAGTCCTGCTGGAATGTCCAATGTCTGCGGCAAAAATTTTTGCATTGCCCAATGCTCTAATACACCCTCCAGAATATTTTCGCGATAATATTCGGCATTTATTCTGATGCCACGGACGATTAATACGAGCGGAGAGCAACCATCGGCACAATCATTATGGCCGGCGCTTGAGTTCTGGTGGCCAACCGAAGTTGCACATTTTCAGCTGACCTCTTTGGCAAGTAAACACTACCATTTTGTTTGTTTACAAACTGCTGGACAACGAATGTTTTCTCATCGGTGAAAACCAAATTCGGCAGTTCACCACTTTCGATAAAGCGAAGCAACTCTTTAGCTCTTTTGAGTCTATTTTTTTCTGTTGCAGTGTAAGTTCTTGCACTTTTTGGAATTTCAATGGCTTTACCCCGAACTCATTTTTCAATATTTGGTGAATGGAATATTGTGATATGTTCAGCTCACAAGCCATTTTTCGGCCACTTTACTCCTCGAATCATTTCCGCTGATGTCGCTGTTCTCTTCCGTCCACTTCCTTGACGTCGGAATACGCAACCAGTATCACGGTAACGAGCGATGGTACGAGACACAGAAGATTTATTCACATTTAAATGCAGGAGTGCTCTAACGATAGCCACTTGTGGTTTTCCAGCCAAATAAAAAGAAATCACACTTTCACGCTTGAATTCCATCACGAATAACTTTTTTCTGGAAAATTCTCACCAAAATGCGATTGTAAACAATATATGGAACTGTCACTGGAATAATTTTAACAGCTGTCGGACGTGTAGCTCAGAAATGATTGCAGTCTGAAGTTGGTTGCAGTTTTTTCATCTCACCCTGTACACAGCTCGTATATATGTGTGTGTATTGTTTTGAATTAAAAATTAAATATTTAAAAATTATTTCAAATTTAGATGCAACAAAACTACATATTTTCCACTTTAACGGGCAACAAAATGTATTATTTTGGAATGAAACGACATTGTCCCTATACCTGGGATTCAATTTTGTAGAGATCCCTAATATTTCATTCATATTTTGTGGCTTTTCCCCAATATAGTAATTTTGTGAAAAGAGTAAAATAAAAAAAACAAAAACCAATTGTTGCATGTTTTCCGAGTAAGCCAGCCAGCCGATGACTTAAGCCAGTTAGAAAAGTGTTTTATGTATTCTCACCTAAAGATTCCGGTAAAGAGTTGAATTTTCATTGTTTTTTCGAAGTTGAGCAACCTTTCTTGTTGAGCCCAATATTTTTAGCTTACTGGTAATGCACGGAATTTACAGGTGTCATTTTGTTGGAAAACTGCTAAGGCAGAGTGTGTGTGATTGTTAGGAATGCGGAAAATGGAACACTCGGCTACAAAATTTTTGCTGGGTATTGGGTTGCCTCCTAATATTTATTATTTCGAAAGTTTTATCTTCGATTTTTAATTGAATTGGATGTTGTTTGCCATTTTAGGTTCTTATTGAATTAAAATAGACCTAATAACATATTTTAGTGTTGCATTATAAGGTAACGATAGATTCTGAAGGCCCTGGCCATATTTGCCAACGAAAGTGGCTACAGTTTGAAATTATAATATGTAGAACATGGAATGGCCCTATACAACGCTGTTCCCCCAAAAGACCCATTTTGACGTTACTGGTAGAAAACTGTCCTTGGAAATGTATTCCAAAACCAATTTTCACTTTAAAAAATTTTGTTTAAATTTTGTTTAATTCCATTGATGAAAAAATGTCTATTTAATATATATCCAAAAATATATTGTATATTTCCCGCATCCATTGTCAAAAAGTAATACATTAAAGTAAATTATTTGCATTACACAATATATTTATGCATATTTTAGCCAAAGACTACATATGTATTTATATTAAAGTAAAAAACCTATATATCACTCATGTAAAGGAACTTTTTAACTATTAGAAAAACATATCGTACAAACCTACAAAAAAAAGACAAAAACCAATAACACTTTAAAAACAAAACTCAACATGAAAAAAAATATTAAACATTTTTTGTACAGTTTTATTTGTGCAAAATAAGTATTGGCATATTTTTTGAAAACCTTACCATGTCCCATTAATTTTTTTTGTAAACAAAAAAAAAATCCAGGACTATAAAATCTAGAATTAAATAAAAAACCAACAACAACAAACAAGATTGATATGAAATCTAATTTCCCAATATTACAGAAATTCCTTCCCTCCCAGAAAAAATTAAAAATGTAAATGAATCGATCTAGACAAAACAATTTTTGAGTGTCTAGTATAAACACTAAAAAAACGCACTGACTTTATTTAAATGATATTACAGAAATTCGATTCCTAGAATAGCCTGGATATTCTCAGAAAGTAAAAGAAAAAACGAAACATTTAGATATAGATAGTACTCAATAAAGTACGCAATACATAAAATGTATGTAAAAATTATTAACTGCTAAACTCAAACAATATATACACGAAGAAACCAAAACAAACAAAAAAAAAGAAAATGTACCCAAAACTTATAAATGGTCCAAAACAATAATACTTTGAGAAAACTAAAAACAAAACTCTAACATGAATTAAATGTATATATTTTTCGTAAAAGAAAATTAAGAACTAATAATAAAAAGTGTACTCAAACCACATATAAAACCAAATTATATATGTAACAAAATAATCATATATAATGGCAGCATATACTACAAAACAATACGGAGACACAATAAAGCAAAATAAATAGAAAATACAAATTTATATTCTTGAAAGGTAAAATCTACATACAAACATATATAACAACTTCAATAGAAAACTATATACACACACGGTCCCATTATTAACAGAAAATCCCCAAAAAAAAATAAATAAATACTTAAAAACATATATTCAAATATTTAATAAAACAGAACAATAATCATATTAAAAAAAACAGAAAACAAAAATAAACTGAATGATTTAATGAAACGATAACAACAACCACAGCAGCAGCAACATGAACAAAGAGTTTTATATAGAAAATAGAAAGACTTAAATGTTAGTGAATAAGTTAATGTTTTTTTGTTAACACCAATAACAACAGCAAACATCTACAAAATTGTACTGGCAAATCAAATAAATCTCATTTCCACATAAACCGAAAAATCTCAATGCAAAAATCCAAATTAAAATACATATATTTTCTGTCTCAAAAATCGAAAATATCCGATAAGAATCGAATTGAAATATCTGTTTTGGTATATCATCAGATTTTTGGAAATTAATTGAACAACATCATGATGTAAATCGATAAGAAAGAAATTCAAAAATAAAAACACACATCTAAAGAAAGCTGGAATCTTGGTTGTATTTCATTTTTTTATGAAAGGTTAACGCAAGGTGAGTTATTAAATAAGTAAAAAAAGCGATAAATTTGACCAGGCCGAACCTTGAATACCCTCCACAATTTGGAACGAGTTTGGCAATTTTCAAAAAATTAAAAACCGTTAAAATTACTACGACGGCAAATTGAAAAAAATCAATGATAATGTAACTAAAATCGCCAAAATACCTGATATAGGGAGGTCCCATTATATTGGGGCCGTACCAAAACGTGGACCTGCACAGACAATTTTCTGTCATAGGCTGTAGTATCCATTACGAATTTCAAATACCAAATTTGAAACAATTTCGGTGAAGAAATTCGCCAAAATCATCAAAATACCGTATATCGGGAGGTACCGTTATATGAGGGCTTTGCAAAGACGTGGACCTATATAGGACCTATATTATAGGCTGTAGTATCCGTTATGAACTTTAAATACCAAATTTGAAGCAATTCTGGTGAATAATGTCGCTAATGAATATGGCGGCTATACCAAATATACCGATATATTTCATTTTTAATACCAACCATCCTACACATACTACTAATTGTTCTGTCAAATTTTGAAGCTCTACGTCAAATAATGTGGACTGTATCGTGACAGACAGACGGACATCGTTAAATCACCTTAGAATTTCATGCTGATCATATGGATGTTACAAACGGAATGACCAAGTTAACATACCCTCCTTTTTAAGATAGAACCGTTATATGGGGGCTCTACGAAGACGTGGATCTGCACAGACAATATTCTGTCTTAGACTGTAGTATTCTTTATGAACTTCAAATACCAAATTTGAAACAATTCCGGTGAGGAAATTCGCTAAAATCATCAAAATACCGAATATCGGGAGGTACAGTTATATGGGGGCTATACCAAAACGTGGACCTACATGGCCCATTTTCAATACCAAAAGTCCTGCTGACATAACATATATTTGAGCAAAATTTTATCAATCTACTTCAATTCGTTCGGAAGCTAGAGTGAT